TTCTTTCTCTCTCTCCACTTTTTGCTATTAAGTTGATAGGGTTAAAAGTACTTGTTTCTGCGGAAATATGCAATGAATATGAATGAAAAAAAAGAGAAAATAAAATCCATCTACGGTAATGATAATGATGATGATTATTTGAAGAAGAAGAAAAAAAAAGAGAAAAGATTTGCCCAGGTCGTATACCCGGTTCCGGATGGACCAAAAAAAAACCTGTCGTTGATGTTTAATTTGTTAGGCAAGCTATTCTTAGAATTTTTTTTTTAAACGACAATTACCTGATCGTGTATATTTTATACGGGAAAACTCTTTTTTTTCTCGCTTTGCTGCTCAGATGAATATATTAAATGATTGCCCATATGATAATAATATTTGAATTTTAATTATATTTTGTTGCTATTTTTCTAAGAAATCAATTTTCTAACGAACATCCTACATAAGGTTTAAAAAATTGATTTTGGTTTTTTGGCGTTCATTTGGAATAATCATTCGATATACATATAGTAGACATTAATAACAATAACAATAACAATATTCATTTGAATGTCAATGAATTCATTCATCACTATGTGGAAATTTAGCTGGAATGGCTCATTATTTGTTACGATACTATAGTAACGATATTAGAGTATTGAATATTATTTGGGATTCTCAAAAACGACACGTTTTTGTTCAGTCAAGAATCCTCTTTGGATTTTGTTGCCCACTTTTTCTCTTTATCAAATATCTACGTCTATACGAATTCCATTAATAATTTTGACATTCTCTGTATGTGTATGTGTGTATGTTTCGGAGCACAGATGTATTCCAGTGATAAAACCAACCAATATTGTGTATGATGATGATGACGATCGACTTGAAATTCTCTAATTGGACCAGTCCATTTTTTTCCGGAATATAAATGGAATTCAAATACATACACATATACAATCATAGCATCAATCATATAATGTATATATCAATTACAAAGTAAATAGTAAAATCTAAATCGATTGATCATCGTTGTATGGATAAAATTATAGTAGTATTCAATTTGAATACAGTTCAATTTTAAGACTGAGTTTGTTTGTTCCTTATGAACATAAGTTTTCACGAATGGATTCTACCGAAATTATACAAGCAAATTTCCGTACGAATTTTGATGATAATCAGAATAGAGTGAATCCAATGACAATGTGGACCGATCCCTTGAGTCTGGAGCATACAAAGTCGTTACTGACGCGTGACGGCATACCATAACTTGATTGGAAAAAAACATAGTGAATGGACTTGTCCTTTTCATACATTTTTTATCTTTTAATTTTTCCGTATTCTGTTTACAAACAAAACAAAAGGACAAACCGTTCATTGTTTTCCAACGAAACCAAAAAACAAAAATCGAAACGAATAAAAGAAAATTTATCTGACCAAGAAATAAAAATCGATAAGTTTCATTTGAAACAATTTTTTTTAGAATCAATCTACGTTTACCTTTGTCTTTCTTTTTTAGTTTCGTTTTCATTATTACTTGTTAAATTCAACAATAAAAATTCAATTTCATTCGTGAAATGAGTCATCAAGAGGTTATTTAAGACGAATGACATGGACATATGCTCTATCTTCATCAATTTTGTTGTGCTTATATAATAAATCATCGTCATGATGACCATGATTAGACATATTGTCATTTGATGGTTGACATTCTAAATTTCCATTTTTAAAGCTTATGACTTTTTTTCGCAATTGGATAATGTGATGAACAAGCAAGGAATTTTTTTTATGATCTCATAATAATTATCCAATTTGAACTACTGACCATTGTCGCCCACTATCAGATTGATGGGAAATTGTGAAATATATCAAAAAGCAAAAAAAAAGAAGAAAATTCCTCTCCTTTAGGACAAATGTCTGTTTAATTGATGTTTTGATGTCGCAATTTTTTTTATTTTATTTATTTATTTATTTTTTTTTTTTTTTTGATTCCCAACCGGAAAATCATTCTTTTTTCAAGGTAAAAAATACTAACCATGAATGAACTCAATTATATTGTCCCAGTTATTCAATTTTCATGCTTCTTTTTGTTTTGTTTTATGATTTCATTTTCATTTCATTCAAATATGTATGCGGTGGCTAATAATTAGAATAAAAATACCTAATTATGATTCATCATCATCAACTGCCGGTGATGATGGTGAAGAATATATAGATTTAGCCTACAAAAACGTTGATCTATTTTTTTCTTTGATAATCAATTCCAGCTCATATCTGTATTCTATATATCCATTGTTATTTTTCCTTTTTTGGCCATCTACATCAACGGATTGTTCCGTATGACGTTGTGATTGTGTTCTATATTTGGTTCCATGAATTACATAGGTTATGGAATGATGATAATGATCATCGTTTGTCAATCAATCAAATACAAAAAACAAAATGAATACAGAATCATTTATTCATCATCATGATTATATTGGTTGGTTTAGTCTGGCTGGCTTACTAGCTTGTTGTTCCTTGTTCCATTTTTTTCGGTTTTCAATGAAATTATTTCTTTATGTATTTTTCATGTTTTTTTTTCTCCATAGTCTATTTATCTGGGCGACTCAGATTTTTTAATAAGTTGATTTCTGGCTCCTTGTTGTTTTCAGTTTCGTCCATTTTTTTTCATTTTTATTCCAGGTTTTTTTCCTTTGGATCATAACCATTCGTTTTCTTTGATGATGATCATCAACAACGATCATAATGATGATGATGATCATCTTTATCATCATCATCATCATCATCATTTAGAGATTGAAATTGAGACTTTGACCTCAATTCTCTCTTCATGTTTCATGTTATTTTTTTCTGCTCCAATTTTTATTTCTACTTTAGCCGCATTTACGTTCGTAGCTATATTCGGTGCTCATTTAATTTCATTCATCTATCTATCTATATCCATATTTGTCCATTCAGTTCATTTCATTTCACATTTCTATTGTTGTCTGCTCACGCTAACCACCATCATATTGTAGCTTGTACTGTAAAAACCTATTTTTTTCTTCACCAAAATAATCGAATATAAACGAGGGGGTGAAAATCAGCATCACCATCATCATCATGGCCATGAGTTTCACATTCACAACCTTTGACCTTCGAATCATTTTGTTGAATGTAGTCGTTTTTTCCGCGTATTTCGTCTACTATTCATTTATGGTAGTTTTTTTTATCAATTGTATGATATAGACATGCACATACAGAGAGAGAGAGAGAGAAATTGCCTTTTTTCCATGTCATGACAAGGGTCATAGTTCCGCAATGGTAATTTTTATTAAGACCGTCCGCCCTCGCTCATTGGAATGAGGCCAAGGAAATAATTTCTTCTTCACATGAACACTAGGGTCTAATAATCATCTTAGGTCCGGTTTCTCGTTCCGCATTCACACACATACACACACATATGAATGACCCATTGTCATTTCCTTAACGTTCTATTGTCCTTGGTTTTTGTTGATGACCTTCATGACCTAGCTGACTTATTTTTGATGGTTATTTTTACCAGTTTTTCTTTTTCTGACTAAATAATTATACTGACATGGTCTTGATTGTTGTGTTTGTATTGCCATTCTTGCCGTAATGGGTAGGCGGAGAAGGAAAAGCAAAAAAAAAAAATGTTTTCTCATTTTCTTTGGTCTTTTTCTGGCAACACAAACATTGTTATTGGAAACGAATGTGTAAACATGATGAGATTTTATTACAGTCAGGTGGTTTTTTCTTTTTTTTTTTTTTTTTTTTTGACTCATGTGATTTGACCTACTCTGGGGCCAAAGATAGAAAAAAATCAGAAAATTCACTTTGAAACTTGTCATTAAAATTTAAAATAAAAAAAAAAATAAAAATAGTTAAAGAATCGGTAATTGACCTTTTATTTAAATAAATCTAAATGTACATTCTTAATTAATTTATTATTATCCAATTCAATTGTTAAATGCAGTGATTTGTTGTCAAACATTTTGTAATGATTAAAAATTAAATTCTTCAACTGATATTTTGTCATAGTTATTACATTCTCATATATCTGTACTGGTATAACAACAATCGTCTTTTTTTTAAGTTTATCAGCCATAATAATATAATATCAATGTTTAGATGTCTAATATAATTGGAACTATTATAATCGTCAATGAACTTTGTCTCTCTCACATTTTTTTTCCTTTCGTTCTTTTTTTTCAATTTATATGACACACACAATTGGCCTTGAATCCGAATTTTGACTGGTATATTTTGTATACATGTGTAATGATTCAAAAAAATAAAAAAAATAATTTGTTGTAGTAGTGCATTTTCATCAAATTTTCAAATTGGAATATGCGCACATTGAATGATACACGTGATGATAATAATGATAATAATAATCATCACATTCATTATTTGTTGTTGTTATAATTTGCACAGATATTTGCATCATTACATTTTATAGGAATAATATCTTATTATTATTAAAACAAAAAAAAAATCATAATATTGTTGGTTGCTTCCTTCTCATCATTTATATATGTTGTTCATCATGGATGATAATATATTATATACTTGTCAGGAAAATTCAATGCCAATATCATTTTTTTTTTTTTTTTTTTGACATTCATTCGAATTTTGCCGCTAGAATATTTCAAACCATATATTGAATGATGATAAATATCTATTTACCACTACCAATTTTTTTTTCATAGTTAAATCCGTGGAAACAACCACACAGTGCAACGTGCTCATTATTATATATACATCAACAAAATAAACCAATGTATGTATATATGTGAATCCAATGGAAAAAATTGAATGGAAACTCTCGCCGTTCTTTTTTCTTGTTGTATTTATAATACATTATATTATATATTATATACACATACACACATTGCATTGGGATTCCTGTATGTATGTCTGAGGTTTGAAGCGCTCACTCAAGTGAAGTGGAGTGTATGGCTTTTTCCAGATCAAGTTTTCAGTGTCAATCTATGCTTCGTTGATGCAAGTTGTTTTTTTGTTGTGTTGCCGACGACAGTGTGTGTGTTTATATTGGATCCAGTCTGAAACACACACACACACACACACACACACATTGACTCGGTGTATTCGGAATCAATGTGTTTTAGTGGATTGCGCGCTAATTTGTTTTTTTTTTGAATTTTCTTTCAAAAAAAAAAATCTGTTTTTTCTTGTGTTTATTCAATCCATTCTGTTATTAATTGATTGATTATTGTTGATGGAGTGTGCCATTTTTACCTGATGATTTTCAAATATTTATGAAATAATGGAATCCATTCATCGATAAAAGTTAATGTGTGTAAAAATAACGACCAACCAATCTTTCCAGATTCCTAAACCCAAATACATCCATTTTTTTGAGACAAACAAAACACCCAAAGAACCATCATGACCACAGCAGCATTAATGCTTGCTCCGGCCAAATCATTGGTATCGCCAAGCCCACCACCAATACCACCCACATCAACCTCTGAACATAATCATCATCATCATCATCATCATTCGCTTCGACATCATCATCTCAACCATCATAGTCATCATCATAATTCTTTTGTTGGTAACATTAATGGTAGTTCCACATTACTGCCTGTTGATACATCTATAACGGATCCATCAGCGACCATATCGAATTCGGAATCCACCCCTACTACATCATCATTAACGACGACGAGTGACAGTAATAATATTGATAATCAAACGATAATATCGAAACGTGCTGTTGGCTCCGGTAGTGATACTGGTTGTGATACTGTCGTCACTACAACCGATCATAGTCGTTCATCGCCATCACCGTCACAAATTAAATCATCACCGCTATCAAGATCATCATCACCGTCAGCAGCAAAATTATCATCATCACTCGATTCATGCTCATCATATTTATCTTCGTTGTCATCGTCGACAAATTCTTCTCCATCGACAACATCAACATCAATAACTACGACGACGACGACAACAACAACAACGACAACGACGTCAGCAACAACCACCCCGGTTTCAGTGACTATGGCACCCAATTCGTCACCATCATCACCACCACCACCATCATCAACATCAACGAACATCATCAATGGTCATCATCATGAATATCAGCAAAACAATCCACATCGGACATCACCATCGATCGCTCATGTTAATGGTAATCATCATCCCTATTATTCAAATCATGTCGATCCTATGGATCCATCAGCAATTACACGTTTGGCTCACACGAATTCAGTAGTAATGACGACAACGGCAACCATAACAACAACAACAACAAAAACAACATCCACGGTACAACCGAAAACCACCTCACGATATCCAAGCGAATCATCTACAACCTCATCCACATCATCCGCTTATTCGGAAGAAGACGACGTTGAACTCATGGATTTATCATTGTCTGATATCCATCATCATTCTCGTTTAGTTGATCAAAAAATTTCGACTACAACTACAACCGGAACTGACAATGACGATTTGATTGTCGATGTTGTTGATGATCAACATGATCAAGAAGATGATGAAAGCTATTGTAATTCTGGGGTACCTTTAGATTTAAGTTTACCGAAAAAAGGACGAAAACGATCATCCTATTCAAACACATTGGAACCATGTACATTACAAACAACAAAAAATAAGAAACAACATTCATCATCATCAACAGGTTCATCAACTGAAGAGGATGAAGAAACTAGTTCATTACTATCATCAACATCATCATCATCGTCATCATCATTATCGAATCATCATAAACATCATCGTTCCAAATCGGTTACCGGTGATGGTTGTTCCGGTATAGTTGCAAATGATGTTATAGCTAATTCAAAACCAAGCTATAAAAAATCATTGATAAGAAGATATTGTAAGTTAATGTTGAAAACAAAAAAAAAAAAAAAAAAAATGCTAATAGATTTTGTTTTTATCTGCCACAAGAAATTATGTCCCTAAGAATATGACTATTCTATTGAATGTACAATACACATTCATAAGTCATTATAATAATAACTTTTTTTTCAAAAATCCTTGTTCGGAGGTGTATCAGAATGATTCGTTTATCATCAAAAAAACACCTACCATCATCTTTGTTATTCTTTCTTTCCTAAAAATTTTCTTTTTTTTCTCATTATGATTATATTATTATTATTATTATTGTTGTTGTTGTTATTGTCGTATTCATCATCAACGTCACTAAGTAGCTGGTATTATTATCATTTTTCCCATTGAAATATTTGGTAGCCAGCATTCATTTTAACCTAGCTAGCCATGTTAGTGTTTGGTTTATTTTTGGATATATTTTGGTCTAATTTCTTTCTCCATTCATTCATTCATTCATTCATGTTGTTGTTGTTGTTGTTGTTGTTTTGTTAATCATTCAAAATTTCTCTTTTTTTTCTCATCATTCGCCTCCATTCATACATGTTATATCCCTTATGTATTTTTTTTCAGTTCTTTTTTTATATTTATTTTCAATCTCGCGCCGTATAAAGTGATACATGTCAAAATGTATTTTTCTTCCCCCCATCCTCCCCACAAACTACCACCACCCGAAAAATTTACGTCTGTTCATTTGAGGATTCGGCGCAAATATATGGCGCCCAAAGATTAGTTAGATTAATACGTATTCACATACATATGCAGATATATGTAGTGGTAGCTGATTATTGTAGCAGCAGTATGGATTTGGATACTCTTGTGACCTTGTTTCGTTCATTAGCCCCGGCATACGAGAAATGAGAAAAAGAAGAAGAAAAAAGAGTGAACGAATAAAAAAAAAAGGAGAGAAAAATCGGAGAAATCATCGCTTCATTTGATGGTTGGCAACGCCGATATTTTTTTTTCTCTCTCTCTCTTCTTTCTAGAAAAGAGAGAATAACCGTTTTTTCTTCTAAATAGCTGTCAGTTTCTTAACTCGAACTATGTCAATGGCAAATAATGTGTGGTTTTTTCCGATAATCGAAGAAGAAGAAGAAGAAGAAAATAAATTTTAGTAGACAATTCTTCTGATGATGATGGCAGTGGTGGTGTCTGGCGGTTGTCGATCGGTGTTGACCTCGATATACATTTAAAAATATACTCAAAAAAAATGAATTTTTTTTTGGCGTGTGGGTTAAATGGGGAATGGAGCACAAGTTCATCATTATTATCATCATCATTGCTAAGTTCTTTTGCTCTCTTTCTTTCTTTTTCTCTCTATCATGACACACACACACACACACGATTTCTTTATCCTTTCATCTTTAAATCTTAAAAAAGACAAAAAATAGATTTTATTCCCCCGTTTTTTTTCTCATAAACTTTTTTTTATTTGAATGAATTGAAAATATATAGTATAGTAAGATATAATAGAAATAAGGACAACCGACCTTAACCCTTTTTGTCATTATATGCTGCTTCAATATATAATTGTTTGTTTGTTGTTTGATCATTCTCCTGTCCATTGTGTCAATGATGATGATGATGATTATGAAAGAATAAGCTAGGTCTATTTTTGGGAGAAAAAAAATAAAATCTCTCAACCAATTGGATCGGTATCTGCAGGGTCAATAAGAAAAAAAAATCTTTTGTCTGTTTTATATTAGAACAGTCAGTTTTCCTCTTTATATGTTCCAAAATAGGAACACAGGTGTTGAAACTTTTTTTTATTGTTATTATTATTGTTGTTGTTGTGGTTTCAAATGCTTGACCCTTAATACAATGTCTAGGTCAATGCAATGGTTTCTTTATCATCCTGGTTCTCTAAACAAATAAAATAGGGTTGAAAGGTCAGCTCTAATTTATGATTTTTTTATATATATTTCAATCTTATTGATACAAAATAATATGAAAATTGTTAACAAGGAAAAATGTTACTGAAAAAAATAGTAATTCAGGTTAATCCATTTTGCAGGTGTGTTTTGACATGAAAATTCACAAATAAACAAATAAATTCATCAATCAATCAATCATCATATGTTGAAAACAGAATTGATTTTATTCTTAAAAACTTAGTCATCTTAGATAAATCCCACGTGATTAACCCTAATTCTTTTTTTTTTGGATGGAATTCAATCCTTTAGGTTGAATATATATTTTTTTCATATCCGGTTTCATCGATTAGAAATAAGTATTTAACATTAATCAGGTTTTTTCCATTATGATTATTATAATCGATTGATGTTTTTTAATCTTGTGATTTGGTGTATTTCTGTGTGTATGTATATCAGATTTTCGAGATAGATAAATTGACAAACACACACACACAATAATTTAATACATTTTTTCTTCTTCTTCATGACTATGCATAAAAAATACGAAATAATTCCATCATTTGTCAATGAATGATATTTTTGTTTTGAAAAAAAATTTTCAATTCACAACACCAGTAAACGTGATCATCATCATCATCATTGTTATGATGGTATAAAATTTTTTTTTTCCTGTTAAGAACATGAAGGATTCAGGCCAAATAAGAAACCGTTATCCTTGTCCTTAATCTTTATGAAAGAATTAGGAAAAAGAAAACGACCTTCCGTATTCATATAATAATAATAATAATAATAATAATCGATTGAAATTTACAATAGCAACAATTTTGAAATCTTGAATTGCTATAAATCAAAAACAGGATTGCTAAGAATGTCTGTAATGATGATTATTATGATCAACAGGATCATCCTGGTGATGATAATTTTTTTTTTGTTTCTCTTTCTCTCTCTTTCTATTCGTCATCTAGTTTTAGCCTCATGATGAATATTGAAATTTTAGAAGAAATTACAAATTATGATGATGATGATGATGATCAACAAATGGCGGATTGTTAGTTTTTATTTACATATATTAACAACACAAAAACAAGTACAAGGTTTTTCGTTTTGTATATAACTTTTCTGGTTTTTTCTTTCTTTTGTGTGTGTGTGTGTTCTATATTTGCAACACGTTCATTTTCATTATATATTTAGGTAATAATTTTTCTTTTTTTTTCTTGTAAATGAATAGTTGTCGATTGTTGTGATGTAGATGTATTGTTTCACTATTGAAACACACACACAAACACATTTATATCGATGTAAAAATGACGTGAACGTTAATGAATGTCGATTGTATCCGTTATTCGCTTCCTTAGTTATTGTATAGTATGACTTGATTTCCTTCCAAGGATTTCTTCTTCTTATTTTAGCTTTTATTTTGTTTTTTATTTTCATACATTTACCAATATCCGTATCATCCGATTTTGTTTTTCATTGCCATCATACAATCATTGTCATAATATATCTATTTGTCTGAAAAACATTCACCGTAGATGTTGTTGTTGTTGTTGTAATGTTTGGCGTATAAATTCATCATTAGTGTATTCTTTGTGTACGGTTGGATGTGATTGCATCATTTTTAATGCCTCTCAAGACATTGAAATTGATGTTTTTAGTGCATTTTTTTCTTTGCTTATTTACTTCCTTTATAAATATATATGTCATACAAAAGCAGCCAACATTATCGATGATTGGCGATGACTATTACAATGTATAAATGAATGCATTTTCTATATCACATATTAATATGACTCAAACCTTTTTGGATCATATCCCAAGAGCAATTATAATTATCATTTTTTTTTCTCTCTCTATATTGTCTATTTGGGTGTTATAATGTAAACACACCCTTTATCCAAAAATCCTGTGTTTTCTGGTTATGATAAATTCCTTCAACAAACAAACAAACAAACAAAACACGTCACTTGTTGGAAAAAAAATGTTGCATGCATTCGAATCATGTTTGTTGTGAAGTTTTTATTACGTTTTTCAATTGTAAATTTTTCCTTTTTTTCCATGTATGGAAAAATTTTTCTGATAAAGAATTTCTACAAAAATTGATCTATGTGCCAAGGGACATTTTAACTGAAATATGTCTGTCATTTCCGTATGCAGATTATTGGTTATCTAACGATTTTAAAATAATGTCTGCTAATCATTTGAATGGATAATGTAATGTTGTATGTCTATTATGTGTATATTAGTGGTAAAAATAAAATTCTTTACCCGAAAAATTTGAATTACTGAATTCTCTATCATAATGTATATATTTTTCTATGTATATGTTTGTGACATGAGAAAAATAATGTTTTTATCATTTTGAAATTCCTCATCTGAGTAATTAAATTTCTTATCATTCGCCTCTCATGTCAATGACAGTGAGAGTGTAAAAAGAGTGAGAAAAAGAAATGAAGAATCACATCCTTAAGGAAATGGCATCCATGCATGAATTACATTATTGCCTACCTGATGATGATAAATTTGTTGTATATATTCACATAGCATGTGTATTTTCTCCAGGGTCAAAAAATACGCACGATCAAATAACGTCTTGTTTTTTTTTTGTAAATTTTGTAGTTTTTTTTGTGTGGTGTGTATATCTTGCATCTGTTTAATTTAATGATGGATGCTTTTTTTCTGGCTAATTACATGAACCTTTTACTACATTACTACAACCTACATTAATCATCATTGGATCATTATTATTGCTGCTACTTCTATCTATTGCCACTGTCAATAATGATAACGGCCATTTAATAGCCAATAGAAAAGACATCCGCAAAAAAATTTTTTTTTTTTTTGTTTTTGTTTTCCTTTGTGATAAATCAATTTTTGCAATTTTTATTCATCAAATAGATTGTTGCTTTTTGTTTGTATAAGAATGCGTTAGAATGTTGATAGGATATAGCAGACACGCACAAACACACAGACAATGTCATTTATGGTTTGATTGGAGTTTTTTTTTTGTTGACGCCAAAACTCAGACACACATGCATAAATACCAATTGTATCCAATCACAATCAATCGATCGACAAGGTTTTCCATAACTCTGTCATAGGGAATTTCTATTGTATA